GCCTATGGTCCCTCTCAGTGAAGAGGAGGGTGTGCTCTGCTCGCGTCGGGTGGCCTGCTGGGTGATGGGAGGGCCAGTTCTCTTCTTCCCTGTTCTGTTTTGTAAGGTTATCGAGCACCGAGCGGAGTGTTACGGTCTCTGTCTTCAGTATGGCTTTGTTTAGTTCTCCTTTCAGTTTTCCCAGTTTTCAGTTCAGTGTTTTTAGGTGTATACAGACGTAAATTTTTTTTTTTTTGATGAATTGTGCCCTGTACTATTATTATGAAATGATTAGTTTTAAAAAATGATTTATTATTTTGAAATGATTAGATATTTTTCTTTTCTTGCCTTGTGGCGTTAGTGGTAAAGAACCTGCCTGCCAATGCAGGAGACATGTGTTTGATCCCTGGGTTGGGAAGATCCCCTGGAGAAGGAAATGGTAACTCACTCCAGTGTTGTTGGCTGGAGGATCCCCATGGATAGAGAAGCCTGGCGGGCTGCAGTCCATGGGGTCTCGGAGGGTCAGAAACGACTGACGCGGCTGAGCACGTGTGCTGCACACCCCATATTGTCTCATCTTCTCCGTTTAAGGGTGTCCCCCAAGCTCAACTGGTAAGGGATCCGCCTGTGGTGCAGGAGACCCCGGGTTGATTCCTGGGTCGGGAAGATCCGCTGGAGAAGGGATAGGCTACCCACTCCAGCATTCTTGGGCTTCCCTTGTGGCTCAGCTGGTAAAGAATCCGCCTGCAATGAGGGAAACTTGGGTTCTGTCCCTGGGTCAGGAAGATCCCCTGGAGAAGGGAAAGGCTACCCACTCCAGTGTTCTGGCCTGGAGAATTCCACGGACTGTGTAGTCCACGGGGTTGCAAAGGGTTGGACACGACCGAGCGACTTTCACTTCACTTCTTTTTATTTATAGTCCATTTTGCCTAGATAGCATGTAATCAGGGTTGCTTTTTAAATTTCATCTGACAGTCTCTACCTTTTTGATTGGAATTTTAAGTCCTTTTATATTTAATATATTGTCAATATGGGTGGCTTAAATCCTACCATCTTGCTAGTTGCTTTCTAATTTTGTTCAATATATCCTTTGCTCCTCTTTCCTTCATTCCTTACCATGTTTTAGAGTTACTTAAATATATATACATGGCTTCCCAGGCAGCACTAGTGGTGAAGAATCCACCTGCCAATGCAGGTTAGATGTAAGAGACACAGGTTCGATCCCTGGGTCGGGAAGATCCCCTGGAGGAGGGCACAGCAACCCATTCTAGTGTCCTTGCCTGGAGAATCCTGTGGACAGGGGAGCCTGGTGGGCTGCAGTCCATGGGGTTTCACAGAGTCAGACACAACTGAAGCAACTTAGCATGCACACACATACACATGTATATAATTGCTTAATAACATATATTACATATGTAAGTATAAAGTTTATATTTATAAATTGATATATATTTATACATTAAATGTATATAGTTAATTATATACTAGACAAATATTAATGTAAGTTATACACATACATGCATAATTATATTAATGTAAGTAATGTAAATTATATACATTGTACATATAATTATACATATAATTTGTATATATCCAAATTATATACATTCTTGTATATGTAAAATTATTCTATATGTATATATATACAATAATACACTCATATGTATTGTATAGATACATATATGTATATTTATTATTTTGTCATCTATATTAATGTATATTTTACAAACATATTTTTAGTATTGTATTTTATTTCTGCTGTTGGCTTATTAGCTACACATGTTTTTCATCTTAATGGCTGCTTCATGGTTTATACCATGTATTTTTTATTATCACAGTGTGTCTTCCTATTACATTATACTTCCTCATGTATAATGTGAAAACTTTACAGTAAGAACTTCCATTACCCCAACTCCTTCCTTCGTATTATAGTTGTCATATGCATTACTCCTACATATGTTAAATTCTATGTTTTATTACTTTTGTTTTATACAGTTGATTACCTTTTCCTTTTACGGGTCTACTAAGGTGTAATTTGCATACCATAAACCTCACCCATTGTAAATGCATGATTCAGTCATTTCAGTAACTTTACAGAGCTTTGCAGCCATCACCCTGTCCAGTTCTAGAACATTCCCATCAACCCCAGTTCTCTGGAGCCTGTTTGTAGCCCGTGCCTACTCCCACCGGTAGTCCCTAGCAGTTACTTAATTGTGCTAAAATACAGAAACTGATCCAACATATATCCTTCCCCTCTCCCTTCCTTTTGGCTATTATTGCCACATATATTACATCTACATATATTATGATCGCAACAACATGACTTTAGAATCACCACTTTATATGGGACGTTGCCAGATTACGGCCTGTGCACTAAATCCGTCCTGCTGTTTGGCTTGTAGGTGAAGTTTTGTTGGATCACGGTCACGCTCGTTCATTTACATTTTGTCTGTAACTACTGCTGAGCTACAACCATGGAGTTGCAAGAAAGACCACATGGCCCGCAAAGCCTGAAATAGGTGCTGTCTGACCTGTCTCAAGAAAAGTTTGCAAACCCCTGCTGTATATGATCTTATATCTTTTTAAAGAAGTTAAAAGATGGAATGGGATATATTTATAGATACCTCATTATAAAGATATGTTTGCTGAGCTTTTTATATTTGCCCACATAGTGACCATTTTCTGCATCCTTCATTTCTTTCTGTAGAAATGGGTCAGTATCTAATAGCTGGTTCCTTTAGCATTTCTTCTAGGAAGACTTGCTGACTGAATTCTCTTCGTTCCTTTGCAGACGTCTTTGTTTTGCCTTTATTTTTGAAGGATACTTTACTAGATATACAATTCATGTTTGAAAACAGTTTTCTTTTAGCAACTTGAATCTATCGTTCCACTTTTTCCTGGCTTCCATGGTATTGGATAGCTATTGCATTGTCGTACCATTAAATATGATGGGCCACTTTTCCTTGTTGCTTTCAAAATTGTCTCTTTCTTGTGAACATTTTGATGTGATTGTCTAGGTCTGGATCCTTTTGTGTTTATCCTACTCAGGTTTGTTGAGCTTCTGAGATCTGTAGATTGTTTTCAGCCATTATTCTCTCAAAATTTTTTTTTTGCCTCTCTCTTTTTCCTTCTGAGACTTCAGCTACACATCATTGGCATTCTTAATGTCATCCCATGGATCGCTGAGGTTCTGTTCATTTTCTTTCAATCCTTTCCCCCTTGTTATTTACACTGGTTTTTGTTGTTCAGTCGCTAAGTCATGTCCGACACCTTGTGATCCCATGGACCGCAGCACCCCAGCTTTGCGGGCCATGTGGTCTTTCTTGCAACTCCGTGGTTGTAGCTCAGCAGTAGTTGTAGACAACATGTAAGTGAATGAGTGTAACTGTGATCCAACAAAACTTCACTTACAAAGCAAGCAGCAGGACAGATTTACTGCACAGGCCATAATCTGTCCTCCACTATTTCTCAGAGTTTGTTCAAATTCATGTCCATTGAGTCACTGATACTATCCAACCATCTCATCCTCTGCTGCCCCCTTCTCCTTTTTGTGTTCAGTCTTTCCCAGCATCAGAGTCTTTTCCAATGAGTCAGCTCTTCGCATCAGGTGGCCAGAGTATTGGAGCTTCAGCCTTGGCATTACTCCTTCCAATGAATGTTCAGGGTTGATTTTCTTTAGGATTGACTGGTTTGATCTCTTTGCTGTCCAAGGGACTCTTAACAGCCTTCTCCTGCATCACAATTTGAAAGCATCAATTCTCTGATACTCAGCCTTCTTTACGGTCCAACTCTCACATCTGTACATGACTACTGGAAAAACCATAGCTTTGACGGCACGGACCTTTGTCAACAAAGTGATGTCTCTGTTTTTCAATACACTATTTAGGGTTGTCATAGTTCTTCTTTCAAGGAGCAAGCATCTTTTATTTCATGGATGTGGTCACCTTCTACAGTGATTCTGAAGCCCAAGAAAATAAAATTTGTCACTTCTTGCACTTTTCCCCCGTTTTATTTGCCATGAAGTGATGGGACCAGATGCCATGATCTTAGGTTTTTTATTTATATATTTTTTTTATCTTAGTTTTTTTACTGTTGAGTTTCAAGCCAGCTTTGACTCTCCTCTTTCACCCCTATCATGAGGCTCTGTAGTTCCTCTTCCCTTTTTGCCATTAGAGTGGTTAAAATGACTAATTTCTGTTAATATACAAGTGTTTTTGTTGTGGTTGTTTTTTCTGACTGCACCACAGAGCTCACAGGATCTTAGCTCCCTGACCAGGGATTGAACCTGGGCCCCAGCAGTGAACGTGCTGAGTCCGGATCACTGACCACCAGGGGATTCCCCTAATCTACCAGTTTTTCACTTCCCCTGTTATCTCAGCTCTGCTATGGAGTCTCTCCAGTAAATCTTCAACTCCAGAATTTCCAATTTAAAAAAAATATAATTTCTGTTTCTTTATGACATTCTTCATCAAACCATGGTCATCATATTTTTCATTAATTCTTCAAACATGCTCTCCTTTACTTTTTTGAACAAATTTATGAATCTTGCTTTGGAGTCTGTGCCAAATCCAACATCTGTGGACATTCAAAGACAGGTTCCGTGAACTGCTCTAGTTCTCACTAAAGATCATACTTTCTTGTTTCATTGCATGTCATGTACTTTTGTGTTGAATGCTGGACATTATACTTTCCTTATTACAGTAACTCTGGATTCTGATTCTTTGTCAGGGTTGTAATTACTGTTTTATTTGTGTGTTTGTTTAGTGACTTGCTTTGACTAAATCTGTGAAGTTTACCTACTTGATCCGCGCACCCCCCTCCCGGCTCCCTGCTTTCACACGCAGTCTCGCGGCCTCCCCAGCTCAGTGGCTGTGGGTCCTCCCCTGACCCTTGCCCTGCCCCCAGGCCCAGTGTCCGGGCTAGCCCACCTGTGTGTCCACAGCCTCTCCTGGGCCCCTGCCCGCAGCCACCACCCGCCCCACCGCCGGCGAGGCGCCACTGACTCAGCCCTCCCTTTGTAGTGTCCGGTCGGCAGCTGCGGCCTGGAGAGCCAGATGCAGGATCCGAGGAGGAGCGCTCGGTAAGTGAGGTCCGGGAGGGCGCGGGCACGCTCCTACCCCCCCGGCCGTCCCCGGACTCGAGCGGAGCCGCGTGGCTGAGGGTAGCCTGAGCTTCTGTCCTCCCGCCAGGTGACTGCAGGGCCGGGGCCCGAGCTCATCCGTCCCCGGCCACAGGGCTCCTCGCCCGTCTACGAGTGCGTGACGGAGGGTGCTGGCTTCAGGCTCCCGGTAAGCCCCCTGGACGGACACATGTGGGCGGAGGGCGGGCTCAGCGGGGAGAGGCGCAGGCGGCCACCCCGCCTCCGGGTCGCCCCGCGTGGACAGCTGTGTCTGGTCAGCCGTCTCCTCTGGCTCCTCTGCCCTTGCCCCGGGGCCCTCCCTTCAGCCAGCCAAGACCGGGAGAGAGAGCACATGTGTGCAGCTGGGGAAGAGACCTCATGCCCCCGTGTGCGGTGGGGCGCAGGACATGTGCACGCACGCGGCTCTCTGGCGAGGAGACGCAGACGGGGTCTCTGCGGCCACCTCTGGAGATGACTGCGGAAGGCCCGCAGCGGTGCGTTCCCAAAAAGGCCTCTATCTGGCGCTGCTTCCTTTCTGTCCCCTCTACCTGTGGAAGTGGGGGCTGGGCCCGTGGGAAGCGTCGAGGCCCAGAGCCGCCTGCCCCCTGGAGGAGCCTGGCTCCGCTTGCACACGGCCGCACCCTGCAGGTGCTAGGCAGGTTCGGGCGTCTGGGCCTCCCCGAGTGCCTCCTGTCCCCTGGGCTGGGGCAGGGTTGGTCACCCCGCTGTTTGTTGCTGCTGCAGGAAGACGCGCCGAGGAGGCGGAGGTCCTGGTGGAAGCGGGACTCAGGGGACTCGCGGACGTTTTCCAGGATGAGCCACATGGAGGTGGGCATGTGGCAAGTGGACCTCAGGGTGGGCGTGGGCTGGTTCTTGACAGGGCCTCCAGCCGGGAGGCCAGGGCCAGAGCGAGATGTCGAGGAGCAGGAAAGCTGGCAGGGTGCCCCCGTGATTTGGGGAAGGGTGTGCCACCTCCTTCATCAGGTCAGGGGGCGGGGCTCCGGGACACTAGGCCAGGCCTCCCAAGACTCAGGAGGAAGGGCCCAGACCACTGACCATGTGGACCCAGGTGCCCAGACCTCAGTGTTCTCACCTGTGCAGTGGGTCTGGCCACTGCCTGTTGCATCCAAGACCACAGGAGGGGCTGCGTTCTGTGGGCCCCTGGGAAGCCAGGCACACTGCCGCCTGGCAGCCTGCTCTGTCACTGACAGTACCTTCCTCAAGGCCAGCAATCCCAGTGCTCTCCCAGACCCCGAGGATCCGTCATGTCCGAGCTGAGGCCACTCATGCCGTTTTTGGCATCCTCCCGGGCAATGTACAGGAGGCGGTGATCAAAACCATCCCCAAAAAAGACACGCAAAAAGGCAAAATGGTTGTCTGAGGAGGCCTTACAAATAGCTGAGAAAAGAAGAGAAGCTAAAGGCAAAGGAGAAAAGGAAAGATACACCCATCTGAATGCAGAGTTCCAAAGAATAGCAAGGAGAGATAAGAAAGCCTTTTTAAGTGAACAATGCAAAGAAATAGAGGAAGACAATAGAATGGGAAAGACTAGAGATCTTTTTAAGAAAATAGATACCAAGGGAATATTTTATGCCAAGATGGGCACAATGAAGGACAAAAACAGTATGGACCCAACAGAAGCAGAGGATATTAAGAAGAGGTGGCAAGAATATGCAGAAGAGCTCTACAAAAAAGGCCTTAAAGGCCCAGATAATGACTATGGTGTGATCACTCACCTAGAGCCATACATCCTGGAGTGTGAAGGGAACTGGACCTTAGGAAGCATCACTATGAGCAAAGTAGTGGAGGTGATGGAATTCCAGTTGAGCTATTTTAAATCCTGAAAAATGATGCTGTGAAAGTGCTGCACTCAATATGCCAGAAAATTTGGAAAACTCAGCAGTGGCCAGAAAAACTGGCTAGAAAAGGTCAGTTTTCATTCCAGTCCCAAACAAGGGCAATGCCAAAGAATGTTCAAACTACCGCACGACTGCACTCATCTCACACGCTAGCAAAGTAATGCTCATAATTCTCCAAGCCAGGCTTCAACAGTACGTGAACTGAGAATTTCCAGATGTTCAAGCTGGATTTAGAAAAGGCAGAGTAACCAGAGTTCAAATTGTCAACATCTGTTGGATCATCGATAAAGGAAGAGAGTTCCAGAAAAACATTTATTTCTGCCTTATTGATGATGCCAGAGCCTTTAACTGTGTGGATCACAACAAACTGTGGAAAAATTTTAAAGAGATGGGAATACCAGACCATCTTACCTGCCTCCTGAGAAACCTGTATGCAGGTCAAGAAGCAACAGTTAGAACCAGACATGGAATTATGAACTGGTTTCAAATTGGGAAAGGAGTGTATCAAGGCTGTATATTGTCACCCTGCTTATTTAACTTATATGCAGAGTAAATCATGTGAAATGTTGGGCTGGATGAAGCACAAGTTGGAATCTAGATTGTGGGGAGAAATATCAATAACCTCAGATATACAGATGACGCCATACTAATGGCAGAAAGTGAAAAAGAACTAAAGAGCCTCTTGATGAAAGTGAAAGAGGAGAGTGAAAAAGCTGGCTTAAAACTTAATGTTCAAAAAACAAAGATCACAGCATCCGGTCCCATCACTTCATGACAAATAGATGGGGAAACAATGGAAACAGTGAGAGACTTTATTTTCTTGGGCTCCAAAATCACTGCAGATGGTGACGGCAGCCATGAAATTAAAAGACACTTGCTCCTTGGAAGAAAAGCTATGACCAACCTAAACAGCATATTAAAAAGCAGAGACGTTACTTTGCCAGCAAAAATCTGTGTGGTCAAAGCTGTGGTTTTTCTAGTAGTCATGTATGGATGTGAGAGTTGGCCCATAAAGAAACCTGAGCGCTGAAGAATTGATGCTTTTGAACTGTGGCGTTGGAGAAGACTCTTGAGAGTCTCTTGGACTGCAAGGAGAACCAACCAGTCCATCCTAAAGGAGATCAGTCCTGAATATTCATTGGAAAGACTGATGCTGAAGCTGAAACTTCAACACTTTGGCCACCTGATGCGAAGGACTGACTCATTTGAAAAGACCCTGATGCTGGGAAAGACTGAAGACAGGAGGAGAAGGGGACAACAGAGGATGATCTGGTTGGATGGCATCACCGACTCAACGGACATGGGTTTGAACACGCTCTGGGAGCTGATGAAGGACAGGGAGGCCGGACGTGCTGCCGTCCGTGGGGTCGCAAAGAGCCGGACACGACTGAGCTATTGAACAGCAGCAACAAATGACCCTCCTTGGTCTGAGTGCCAGCTGAGCATCACCTTGTAAGTGATCGGTACTGAGAGTGAGGGCGATGATGAACCAGGAGCCGTGGAGAAAGGCCTGGCACACGCCCGTGAAGCCTCTTCCTCTGCTTAGCGGCCCTGCTGGGCTTGGACGGCCGGGGCAGGGTGCTCCTGAGTCCTGGCCAGTGGGGGCAGGGGCCAGGGGAGGCTGCTCTCAGCAGAGGTGGCAGCCGTGGCCTCCCCCAGAGCCGAACACTGTGGTCCAGGCCCGGCTGCCCGTTGGGAGGGCTCTGGGGTCCCAGGCTTCAGGGGCGGCAGCCCCCAGCACCTACACCGTGGTGGGACAGGTGCGTGCTCACTAAGGCCCCGCTGGGCTTTTGCTCAGTCCACACAGGATGGGACAGAAGTGACACTGAAGACGGAGGTGGAGGCTGGAGCCAGCGGCTACAGTGTCACGGGCGGTGGGGACCAGGGGATCTTTGTCAAGCAAGTGCTGAAGGGCTCGTCAGCTGCCAAGCTCTTCAGCCTGAGAGAAGGTGCCGCGGGCCCGTCCCCAGTTCCCCTCGGTCCCTGGAGGGGGAGGGGGCGGGCCCCAGTGGATGCAGGGTGGCCCCTAGGAGTGTCCCCACGGTCCCACTGGGGGAGGGGGACGGGCCCCAGTGGACGCAGGGTGGCTCCCTGGAGACCTCTCAGCCGCATCCAGGCTGCGGTCACTCTGTGCTGAGTTCTCTGCCTGGAAATGAGGGGCTCCTATGCCCCCGGGGCTCAGTAAACGGAGGGGCGGGCAGCCTTCCACTCACACCCGCTGTGGGCCCCTCCCGTGAGGCCAGGGGCACTAAGGCGCCAGGCCACTCTGTCTTTGTCCAGGGGATCAACTGCTCAGTGCAACCATATTCTTCGACAACATTAAGTATGAAGATGCTCTCAAAATCCTTCAGTACTCAGAGCCCTACAAGGTCCAGTTCAAACTCAGACGGAGGCTTCCTGCCGGCGTGGCCGAGGAGGGCGCAGCCGGCAGTGCTGAGACTGGCCCGAGGGTCGGCGAGGAGCAGGTGAGCGCCCTGGCCCACGGGGCTCTGCCCTGGCGGCTCCTCCCCGCCCCTTCCAGTCCCCGGAGCCCAGGGCCTCTGCCTCCCTGTTCGGGGCCAACAGGGTCGCTCTTCCTGTTCCAGGACCAGGATGTCGCTGATGGCTGCACGGAGACCCCCACGAAGACGCCACAAGGGGACGGAGACCAGCAGAGGCTCCTCCCCACGCCCAGGGAGGGCAGGGGCCGGCGCGCACAGCGGGAGAGGCTTTCCTGGCCCAAGTTCCAAGCCTTGAAAAGCAAGCGAGGGCCCCGGAGGTCGCACAGCTCCTCAGAGGCCTACGAGCGGGGTCGGGGGCCCGACCTGTCACCCACCAGCACAGACACAGAGGCCCCGCTCCCCGCGGAGGAGGAGCCGGGCAGCCAGTGGAGGAGACGGTTCCCCAGCCTGAGGTTCAGGGTGGGCCCCGGGAAGGGCCCGTCGGGCAGGGGCGACCGTGGCGGGGCAGGCCCACCTGAGCTGCTGGAGGAGGCACGGCCCTCGGAGGCCGAACAAGATGCCATCGGGGCAGCCGGACGTGGCGAGAGAGAGGACGTGAGAGCAGGACTGCCCGAGGAGGCTGAGGCCCCCACGGAGCCCGCTCTGCCCGGCGAGGGACCCACAGGCGATGGGGCGGGCCCCGCACCCAGACTGCGAAGGAAGAAAACCCAGGCCACGGCCCCGGAGGAGACTCCAGTGGAGGACCAAACAGAAGCGGGGACAGCCCTGGCCCAGACCACAGAGGGAGCCACGGAGGACACTCTGGAGCTGCAGGTGGGCACTGCCAGGCTGTCTCTGCAGGGCTTCGCAGACCAGGGCGGCTACCGGAACGGCCAACCGGAATTCCGCATCCACATACCCAGCCTAAAGACACCCAAGTTCAGAGTTGCCAAAGAAACAGTACCGGAATATGCAGAGGGCACGGCCCCGGTGCGCGGGGGACCCTGGTGGACACAGGTCTCTGCAGACGACGCCAGGGCCATGGTGCAGGACGACGGTGACACAGAGACAAAGACGGCGAGAGGACCAGCGACACAGCAAACTAAACCAGACGGAGGAGGAGAGGAGGCGGCGGGGGACAGCAGGGCAGGGGACCAGGACTCAGAGGACATGGAGGGAAAGACAAGGATCTTGAAGATCAAGCTGCCCTCATTTGGGTGGTCCCCAGCCAAGGAGAGCAGAGGACTCAAAATGACTCAAATTCAGGAAACAGAAAAACAAAAACAAACCACGGACACGGCAGGAACCACGGAAACTGAGAGAAAGGGGAGAGATGGAGAAGACAGAGACGGCAGGTTCAAAATGCCCAAGTTCAAGATGCCGTCCTTCGGCGTGTCGGCGCCCAGAAAGGCCGTCGAGGCCGCCGTGGACGTGTCCCTGCCCAAGGCCCAGGCCGAGGTGACCGCGCCCTCGGTGCAGGCCGACATCAAGACCCGTGAGGTCCGCGTGGAGCTGCCCTCGGCCGAGCTGGAGGTCAAGGCCGCCGAGGTGGGCGTCAAGCTGCCGGAGGCCCACCTGCCCGAAGCCGAGCTCAAGGAAGGGGCGGCGGGAGAGGGAATCAAGGGCCACCTGCCCAAGGTGCAGATGCCCAGCGTCAAGCTGCCCAAGGTGGACATCAAGGCCCCGCAGGTGGACATCGAGGGGCCCAAGCTGGACCTGAAAGGAAGCAAGGCCGAGGTGGCCGCCCCCGACGTGGAGGTGTCGCTGCCCAGCGTGGAGGTGGACACCCCGGCCGCGGGCGCCAAGCTGGAGGGCGACCTGGCCCTGGGGGACAAGGAGGTGGCCGCCCGAGACAGCAAGTTCAAAATGCCCAAGTTCAAGATGCCATCCTTCGGCGTGTCGGCGCCCAGCAAGGCCGTCGAGGCCGCCGTGGACGTGTCCCTGCCCAAGGCCCAGGCCGAGGTGACCGCGCCCTCGGTGCAGGCCGACATCAAGACCCGTGAGGTCCGCGTGGAGCTGCCCTCGGCTGAGCTGGAGGTCAAGGCCGCCGAGGTGGGCGTCAAGCTGCCAGAGTCCCACCTGCCCGAAGCCGAGCTCGAGGAAGGGGCGGCGGGAGTCAGAATCAAGGGCCACCTGCCCAAGGTGCAGATGCCCAGCGTCAAGCTGCCCAAGGTGGACATCAAGGCCCCGCAGGTGGACATCAAGGGGCCCAAGCTGGACCTGAAGGGCGCCAAGGCCGAGATGGCTGCCCCCGACATGGAGGTGTCGCTGCCCAGCGTGGAGGCGGACACCCAGGCCGCGGGCGCCAAGCTGGAGGGCGACCTCGCACTGGGGGACAAGGAGGTGGCCGCCCGAGACAGCAAGTTCAAAATGCCCAAGTTCAAGATGCCGTCCTTCGGCGTGTCGGCGTCCAGCAAGGCCGTCGAGGCCGCCGTGGACGTGTCCCTGCCCAAGGCCCAGGCCGAGGTGACCGCGCCCTCGGTGCAGGCCGACGTCAAGACAAGTGAGGTCCGCGTGGAGCTGCCCTCGGCCGAGCTGGAGGTCAAGGCCGCCGAGGTGGGCGTCAAGCTGCCGGAGGCCCACCTGCCCGAAGCCGAGCTCAAGGAAGGGGCGGCGGGAGTCGGAATCAAGGGCCACCTGCCCAAGGTGCAGATGCCCAGCGTCAAGCTGCCCAAGGTGGACATCAAGGCCCCGCAGGTGGACATCAAGGGGCCCAAGCTGGACCTGAAAGGCACCAAGGCCGAGGTGGCTGTCCCCGACGTGGAGGTGTCGCTGCCCAGCGTGGAGGCGGACACCCAGGCCGCGGGCGACAAGCTGGAGGGCGACCTGGCCCTGGGGGACAAGGAGGTGGCCGCCCGAGACAGCAAGTTCAAAATGCCCAAGTTCAAGATGCCGTCCTTCGGCGTGTCGGCGCCCAGCAAGGCCGTCGAGGCCGCCGTGGACGTGTCCCTGCCCAAGGCCCAGGCCGAGGTGACCGCGCCCTCGGTGCAGGCCGACGTCAAGACCAGTGAGGTCCGCGTGGAGCTGCCCTCGGCCGAGCTGGAGGTCACGGCCGCCGAGGTGGGCGTCAAGCTGCCGGAGGCCCACCTGCCCGAAGCCGAGCTCAAGGAAGGGGCGGCGGGAGTCGGAATCAAGGGCCACCTGCCCAAGGTGCAGATGCCCAGCGTCAAGCTGCCCAAGGTGGACATCAAGGCCCCGCAGGTGGACATCAAGGGGCCCAAGCTGGACCTGAAAGGCACCAAGGCCGAGGTGGCTGTCCCCGACGTGGAGGTGTCGCTGCCCAGCGTGGAGGCGGACACCCAGGCCGCGGGCGACAAGCTGGAGGGCGACCTGGCCCTGGGGGACAAGGAGGTGGCCACCCGAGACAGCAAGTTCAAAATGCCCAAGTTCAAGATGCCGTCCTTCGGCGTGTCGGCGCCCAGCAAGGCCGTCGAGGCCGCCGTGGACGTGTCCCTGCCCAAGGCCCAGGCCGAGGTGACCGCGCCCTCGGTGCAGGCCGACGTCAAGACCAGTGAGGTCCGCGTGGAGCTGCCCTCGGCCGAGCTGGAGGTCACGGCCGCCGAGGTGGGCGTCAAGCTGCCGGAGGCCCACCTGCCCGAAGCCGAGCTCAAGGAAGGGGCGGCGGGAGTCGGAATCAAGGGCCACCTGCCCAAGGTGCAGATGCCCAGCGTCAAGCTGCCCAAGGTGGACATCAAGGCCCCGCAGGTGGACATCAAGGGGCCCAAGCTGGACCTGAAGGGCGCCAAGGCCGAGATGGCTGCCCCCGACGTGGAGGTGTCGCTGCCCAGCGTGGAGGCGGACACCCAGGCCGCGGGCGCCAAGCTGGAGGGCGACCTCGCACTGGGGGACAAGGAGGTGGCCGCCCGAGACAGCAAGTTCAAAATGCCCAAGTTCAAGATGCCGTCCTTCGGCGTGTCGGCGTCCAGCAAGGCCGTCGAGGCCGCTGTGGACGTGTCCCTGCCCAAGGCCCAGGCCGAGGTGACCGCGCCCTCGGTGCAGGCCGACGTCAAGACAAGTGAGGTCCGCGTGGAGCTGCCCTCGGCCGAGCTGGAGGTCAAGGCCGCCGAGGTGGGCGTCAAGCTGCCGGAGGCCCACCTGCCCGAAGCCGAGCTCAAGGAAGGGGCGGCGGGAGTTGGAATCAAGGGCCACCTGCCCAAGGTGCAGATGCCCAGCGTCAAGCTGCCCAAGGTGGACATCAAGGCCCCGCAGGTGGACATCAAGGGGCCCAAGCTGGACCTGAAAGGCACCAAGGCCGAGGTGGCCACCCCCGACGTGGAGGTGTCGCTGCCCAGCGTGGAGGTGGACACCCAGGCCGCGGGCGCCAAGCTGGAGGGCGACCTGGCCCTGGGGGACAAGGAGGTGGCCGCCCGAGACAGCAAGTTCAAAATGCCCAAGTTCAAGATGCCGTCCTTCGGCGTGTCGGCGCCCAGAAAGGCTGTCGAGGCCGCCGTGGACGTGTCCCTGCCCAAGGCCCAGGGCGAGGTGACCGCGCCCTCGGTGCAGGCCGACGTCAAGACCAGTGAGGTCCGCGTGGAGCTGCCCTCGGCCGAGCTGGAGGTCACGGCCGCCGAAGTGGGCGTCAAGCTGCCGGAGGCCCACCTGCCCGAAGCCGAGCTCAAGGAAGGGGCGGCGGGAGTCGGAATCAAGGGCCACCTGCCCAAGGTGCAGATGCCCAGCGTCAAGCTGCCCAAGGTGGACATCAAGGCCCCGCAGGTGGACATCAAGGGGCCCAAGCTGAACCTGAAGGGCGCCAAGGCCGAGATGGCTGCCCCCGACGTGGAGGTGTCGCTGCCCAGCGTGGAGGCGGACACCCAGGCCGCGGGCGCCAAGCTGGAGGGCGACCTCGCACTGGGGGACAAGGAGGTGGCCGCCCGAGACAGCAAGTTCAAAATGCCCAAGTTCAAGATGCCGTCCTTCGGCGTGTCGGCGCCCAGCAAGGCCGTCGAGGCCGCCGTGGACGTGTCCCTGCCCAAGGCCCAGGCCGAGGTGACCGCGCCCTCGGTGCAGGCCGACGTCAAGACAAGTGAGGTCCGCGTGGAGCTGCCCTCGGCCGAGCTGGAGGTCAAGGCCGCCGAGGTGGGCGTCAAGCTGCCGGAGGCCCACCTGCCCGAAGCCGAGCTCAAGGAAGGGGCGGCGGGAGTCGGAATCAAGGGCCACCTGCCCAAGGTGCAGATGCCCAGCGTCAAGCTGCCCAAGGTGGACATCAAGGCCCCGCAGGTGGACATCAAGGGGCCCAAGCTGGACCTGAAGGGCGCCAAGGCCGAGATGGCTGCCCCCGACGTGGAGGTGTCGCTGCCCAGCGTGGAGGCGGACACCCAGGCCGCGGGCGCCAAGCTGGAGGGCGACCTCGCACTGGGGGACAAGGAGGTGGCCGCCCGAGACAGCAAGTTCAAAATGCCCAAGTTCAAGATGCCGTCCTTCGGCGTGTCGGCGCCCAGCAAGGCCGTCGAGGCCGCCGTGGACGTGTCCCTGCCCAAGGCCCAGGCCGAGGTGACCGCGCCCTCGGTGCAGGCCGACGTCAAGACAAGTGAGGTCCGCGTGGAGCTGCCCTCGGCCGAGCTGGAGGTCAAGGCCGCCGAGGTGGGCGTCAAGCTGCCGGAGGCCCACCTGCCCGAAGCCGAGCTCAAGGAAGGGGCGGCGGGAGTCGGAATCAAGGGCCACCTGCCCAAGGTGCAGATGCCCAGCGTCAAGCTGCCCAAGGTGGACATCAAGGCCCCGCAGGTGGACATCAAGGGGCCAAAGCTGGACCTGAAAGGCACCAAGGCCGAGGTGGCCACCCCTGACGTGGAGGTGTCGCTGCCCAGCGTGGAGGTGGACACCCAGGCCGCGGGCGCCAAGCTGGAGGGCGACCTGGCCCTGGGGGACAAGGAGGTGGCCGCCCGAGACAGCAAGTTCAAAATGCCCAAGTTCAAGATGCCGTCCTTCGGTGTGTCGGCGCCCAGCAAGGCCGTCGAGGCCGCCGTGGACGTGTCCCTGCCCAAGGCCCAGGCCGAGGTGACCGCGCCCTCGGTGCAGGCCGACGTCAAGACAAGTGAGGTCCGCGTGGAGCTGCCCTCGGCCGAGCTGGAGGTCACGGCCGCCGAGGTGGGCGTCAAGCTGCCGGAGGCCCACCTGCCCGAAGCCGAGCTCAAGGAAGGGGCGGCGGGAGTCGGAATCAAGGGCCACCTGCCCAAGGTGCAGATGCCCAGCGTCAAGCTGCCCAAGGTGGACATCAAGGCCCCGCAGGTGGACATCAAGGGGCCCAAGCTGGACCTGAAGGGCGCCAAGGCCGAGATGGCTGCCCCCGACGTGGAGGTGTCGCTGCCCAGCGTGGAGGCGGACACCCAGGCCGCGGGCGCCAAGCTGGAGGGCGACCTCGCACTGGGGGACAAGGAGGTGGCCGCCCGAGACAGCAAGTTCAAAATGCCCAAGTTCAAGATGCCGTCCTTCGGCGTGTCGGCGTCCAGCAAGGCCGTCGAGGCCGCTGTGGACGTGTCCCTGCCCAAGGCCCAGGCCGAGGTGACCGCGCCCTCGGTGCAGGCCGACGTCAAGACAAGTGAGGTCCGCGTGGAGCTGCCCTCGGCCGAGCTGGAGGTCAAGGCCGCCGAGGTGGGCGTCAAGCTGCCGGAGGCCCACCTGCCCGAAGCCGAGCTCAAGGAAGGGGCGGCGGGAGTTGGAATCAAGGGCCACCTGCCCAAGGTGCAGATGCCCAGCGTCAAGCTGCCCAAGGTGGACATCAAGGCCCCGCAGGTGGACATCAAGGGGCCCAAGCTGGACCTGAAAGGCACCAAGGCCGAGGTGGCCACCCCCGACGTGGAGGTGTCGCTGCCCAGCGTGGAGGTGGACACCCAGGCCGCGGGCGCCAAGCTGGAGGGCGACCTGGCCCTGGGGGACAAGGAGGTGGCCGCCCGAGACAGCAAGTTCAAAATGCCCAAGTTCAAGATGCCGTCCTTCGGCGTGTCGGCGCCCAGAAAGGCCGTCGAGGCCGCCGTGGACGTGTCCCTGCCCAAGGCCCAGGGCGAGGTGACCGCGCCCTCGGTGCAGGCCGACGTCAAGACCAGTGAGGTCCGCGTGGAGCTGCCCTCGGCCGAGCTGGAGGTCACGGCCGCCGAAGTGGGCGTCAAGCTGCCGGAGGCCCACCTGCCCGAAGCCGAGCTCAAGGAAGGGGCGGCGGGAGTCGGAATCAAGGGCCACCTGCCCAAGGTGCAGATGCCCAGCGTCAAGCTGCCCAAGGTGGACATCAAGGCCCCGCAGGTGGACATCAAGGGGCCCAAGCTGGACCTGAAGGGCGCCAAGGCCGAGATGGCTGCCCCCGACGTGGAGGTGTCGCTGCCCAGCGTGGAGGCGGACACCCAGGCCGCGGGCGCCAAGCTGGAGGGCGACCTCGCACTGGGGGACAAGGAGGTGGCCGCCCGAGACAGCAAGTTCAAAATGCCCAAGTTCAAGATGCCGTCCTTCGGCGTGTCGGCGCCCAGCAAGGCCGTCGAGGCCGCCGTGGACGTGTCCCTGCCCAAGGCCCAGGCCGAGGTGACCGCGCCCTCGGTGCAGGCCGACGTCAAGACCAGTGAGGTCCGCGTGGAGCTGCCCTCGGCCGAGCTGGAGGTCACGGCCGCCGAGGTGGGCGTCAAGCTGCCGGAGGCCCACCTGCCCGAAGCCGAGCTCAAGGAAGGGGCGGCGGGAGTCGGAATCAAGGGCCACCTGCCCAAGGTGCAGATGCCCAGCGTCAAGCTGCCCAAGGTGGACATCAAGGCCCCGCAGGTGGACATCAAGGGGCCCAAGCTGGACCTGAAAGGCACCAAGGCCGAGGTGGCTGTCCCCGACGTGGAGGTGTCGCTGCCCAGCGTGGAGGCGGACACCCAGGCCGCGGGCGACAAGCTGGAGGGCGACCTGGCCCTGGGGGACAAGGAGGTGGCCGCCCGAGACAGCAAGTTCAAAATGCCCAAGTTCAAGATGCCGTCCTTCGGCGTGTCGGCGCCCAGCAAGGCCGTCGAGGCCGCCGTGGACGTGTCCCTGCCCAAGGCCCAGGCCGAGGTGACCGCGCCCTCGGTGCAGGCCGACGTCAAGACAAGTGAGGTCCGCGTGGAGCTGCCCTCGGCCGAGCTGGAGGTCACGGCCGCCGAAGTGGGCGTCAAGCTGCCGGAGGCCCACCTGCCCGAAGCCGAGCTCAAGGAAGGGGCGGCGGGAGTCGGAATCAAGGGCCACCTGCCCAAGGTGCAGATGCCCAGCGTCAAGCTGCCCAAGGTGGACATCAAGGCCCCGCAGGTGGACATCAAGGGGCCCAAGCTGGACCTGAAGGGCGCCAAGGCCGAGATGGCTGCCCCCGACGTGGAGGTGTCGCTGCCCAGCGTGGAGGCGGACACCCAGGCCGCGGGCGCCAAGCTGGAGGGCGACCTCGCACTGGGGGACAAGGAGGTGGCCGCCCGAGACAGCAAGTTCAAAATGCCCAAGTTCAAGATGCCGTCCTTCGGCGTGTCGGCGCCCAGCAAGGCCGTCGAGGCCGCCGTGGACGTGTCCCTGCCCAAGGCCCAGGCCGAGGTGACCGCGCCCTCGGTGCAGGCCGACGTCAAGACCAGTGAGGTCCGCGTGGAGCTGCCCTCGGCCGAGCTGGAGGTCACGGCCGCCGAGGTGGGCGTCAAGCTGCCGGAGGCCCACCTGCCCGAAGCCGAGCTCAAGGAAGGGGCGGCGGGAGTCGGAATCAAGGGCCACCTGCCCAAGGTGCAGATGCCCAGCGTCAAGCTGCCCAAGGTGGACATCAAGGCCCTGCAGGTGGACATCAAGGGGCCCAAGCTGGACCTGAAAGGCACCAAGGCCGAGGTGGCCACCCCTGACGTGGAGGTGTCGCTGCCCAGCGTGGAGGTGGACACCCAGGCCGCGGGCGCCAAGCTGGAGGGCGACCTGGCCCTGGGGGACAAGGAGGTGGCCGCCCGAGACAGCAAGTTCAAAATGCCCAAGTTCAAGATGCCGTCCTTCAGCGTGTCGGCGCCCAGAAAGGCCGTCGAGGCCGCCGTGGACGTGTCCCTGCCCAAGGCCCAGGCCGAGGTGACCGCGCCCTCGGTGCAGGCCGACGTCAAGACCAGTGAGGTCCGCGTGGAGCTGCCCTCGGCCGAGCTGGAGGTCACGGCCGCCGAGGTGGGCGTCAAGCTGCCGGAGGCCCACCTGCCCGAAGCCGAGCTCAAGGAAGGGGCGGCGGGAGTCGGAATCAAGGGCCACCTGCCCAAGGTGCAGATGCCCAGCGTCAAGCTGCCCAAGATGGACATCAAGGCCCCGCAGGTGGACATCAAGGGGCCCAAGCTGGACCTGAAGGGCGCCAAGGCCGAGATGGCTGCCCCCGACGTGGAGGTGTCGCTGCCCAGCGTGGAGGCGGACACCCAGGCCGCGGGCGCCAAGCTGGAGGGCGACCTCGCACTGGAGGACAAGGAGGTGGCCGCCCGAGACAGCAAGTTCAAAATGCCCAAGTTCAAGATGCCGTCCTTCGGCGTGTCGGCGCCCAACAAGGCCGTCGAGGCCGCCGTGGACGTGTCCCTGCCCAAGGCCCAGGCCGAGGTGACCGCGCCCTCGGTGCAGGCCGACGTCAAGACAAGTGAGGTCCGCGTGGAGCTGCCCTCGGCCGAGCTGGAGGTCAAGGCCGCCGAGGTGGGCGTCAAGCTGCCGGAGGCCCACCTGCCCGAAGCCGAGCTCAAGGAAGGGGCGGCGGGAGTCGGAATCAAGGGCCACCTGCCCAAGGTGCAGATGCCCAGCGTCAAGCTGCCCAAGGTGGACATCAAGGCCCCGCAGGTGGACATCAAGGGGCCAAAGCTGGACCTGAAAGGCACCAAGGCCGAGGTGGCCACCCCTGACGTGGAGGTGTCGCTGCCCAGCGTGGAGGTGGACACCCAGGCCGCGGGCGCCAAGCTGGAGGGCGACCTGGCCCTGGGGGACAAGGAGGTGGCCGCCCGAGACAGCAAGTTCAAAATGCCCAAGTTCAAGATGCCGTCCTTCGGCGTGTCGGCGCCCAGCAAGGCCGTCGAGGCCGCCGTGGACGTGTCCCTGCCCAAGGCCCAGGCCGAGGTGACCGCGCCCTCGGTGCAGGCCGACGTCAAGACCAGTGAGGTCCGCGTGGAGCTGCCCTCGGCCGAGCTGGAGGTCACGGCCGCCGAGGTGGGCGTCAAGCTGCCGGAGGCCCACCTGCCCGAAGCCGAGCTCAAGGAAGGGGCGGCGGGAGTCGGAATCAAGGGCCACCTGCCCAAGGTGCAGATGCCCAGCGTCAAGCTGCCCAAGGTGGACATCAAGGCCCCGCAGGTGGACATCAAGGGGCCCAAGCTGGACCTGAAGGGCGCCAAGGCCGAGATGGCTGCCCCCGACGTGGAGGTGTCGCTGCCCAGCATGGAGGCGGACACCCAGGCCGCGGGCGCCAAGCTGGAGGGCGACCTCGCACTGGGGGACAAGGAGGTGGCCGCCCGAGACAGCAAGTTCAAAATGCCCAAGTTCAAGATGCCGTCTTTCGGCGTGTCGGCGTCCAGCAAGGCCGTCGAGGCCGCCGTGGACGTGTCCCTGCCCAAGGCCCAGGCCGAGGTGACCGCGCCCTCGGTGCAGGCCGACGTCAAGACAAGTGAGGTCCGCGTGGAGCTGCCCTCGGCCGAGCTGGAGGTCAAGGCCGCCGAGGTGGGCGTCAAGCTGCCGGAGGCCCACCTGCCCGAAGCCGAGCTCAAGGAAGGGGCGGCGGGAGTCGGAATCAAGGGCCACCTGCCCAAGGTGCAGATGCCCAGCATCAAGCTGCCCAAGGTGGACATCAAGGCCCCGCAGGTGGACATCAAGGGGCCCAAGCTGGACCTGAAAGGCACCAAGGCCGAGGTGGCCACCCCTGACGTGGAGGTGTCGCTGCCCAGCGTGGAGGTGGACACCCAGGCCGCGGGCGCCAAGCTGGAGGGCGACCTGGCCCTGGGGGACAAGGAGGTGGCCGCCCGAGACAGCAAGTTCAAAATGCCCAAGTTCAAGATGCCGTCCTTCGGCGTGTCGGCGCCCAGAAAGGCCGTCGAGGCCGCCGTGGACGTGTCCCTGCCCAAGGCCCAGGCCGAGGTGACCGCGCCCTCGGTGCAGGCCGACGTCAAGACCAGTGAGGTCCGCGTGGAGCTGCCCTCGGCCGAGCTGGAGGTCACGGCCGCCGAAGTGGGCGTCAAGCTGCCGGAGGCCCACCTGCCCGAAGCCGAGCTCAAGGAAGGGGCGGCGGGAGTCGGAATCAAGGGCCACCTGCCCAAGGTGCAGATGCCCAGCGTCAAGCTGCCCAAGGTGGACATCAAGGCCCCGCAGGTGGACATCAAGGGGCCCAAGCTGGACCTGAAGGGCGCCAAGGCCGAGATGGCTGCCCCCGACGTGGAGGTGTCGCTGCCCAGCGTGGATGCGGACACCCAGGCCGCGGGCGCCAAGCTGGAGGCCGACCTGGCCCTGGGGGACAAGGAGGTGGCCGCCCGAGACAGCAAGTTCAAAATGCCCAAGTTCAAGATGCCGTCCTTCGGCGTGTCGGCGCCCAGCAAGGCCGTCGAGGCCGCCGTGGACGTGTCCCTGCCAAAGACCCAGGCCGAGGTGACCGCGCCCTCGGTGCAGGCCGACGTCAAGACCCGTGAGGTCCGCGTGGAGCTGCCCTCGGCCGAGCTGGAGGTCAAGGCCGCCGAGGTGGGCGTCAAGCTGCCGGAGGCCCACCTGCCCGAAGCCGAGCTCAAGGAAGGGGCGGCGGGAGTCGGAATCAAGGGCCACCTGCCCAAGGTGCAGATGCCCAGCGTCAAGCTGCCCAAGGTGGACATCAAGGCCCCGCAGGTGGACATCAAGGGGCCCAAGCTGGACCCGAAGGGCACCAAGGCCGAGGTGGCCGCGCCCGACGTGGAGGTGTCGCTGCCAAGCGTGGAGGTGGACACCGATGTCCCGGGCGCGAAGCTGGAGGGCGACCTGGCCCTGCGGGACAAGAAGGCGGCCGCCAGAATCCGCACCTTGGGAACCGAAGAAGATATTGAAATCCACGTACGAAAATCCCATTTTAAGTTCCCGAAGTTGTTTTCTTCATCAGGGAAATCATTCGTAAGTTCTTCCATGAATGACGGTGATCCTCATGTTTCTCTGCCCCCAAGTGTTTCTGGTGTGGATTCTGCCTCCCCAGTTGTTTCCAGTCATAAACCATCCGTGCCCTGTCCCCCCCTGGGATGGCCTGGCGTGTCCTCAGGCAGCCTTGATGTCAGCCGTGTTCACTCTGAGTCCTCGTCCATCTCTCTGGAGCCCGTCACTCTCATCAAGTACCAGGTAACTGTTCCCCAGCCCGCAGAGTTCCCTCCAGAATTCACTTCATATTCCCAGGAGGATAGAGAAAGTCCTGCCGCTTTGTCCCCCGACGAGCACGTTCCGTGCCCACCTGATCGTCCTGCCAGCCCTCTGGACCCGCTGTTTCTTGCATCTTATGGTCGGGTGACCTTTCCCAAGTTTCATCGACCAAAGTTTAGGTTTTTTAGCCCAGAAGCAGGAGGTCCTGCGGTGGAGGCTGGGGCTGCGGAGACCTCCCCTGCCCTGTGCTCTCCCAGCGAGGCTCAGGGCCTGGACTCTGCACGCGGCCTGCCCCTGGGAGACGGCCGCCAAGGGCACACACCTGGGGATATCACGGCCAGCCTGCCTCACGGCGAGGGGACGGCCCAGTCAGCAGGAGACCCCCTCCAGCAGTCGAGCAGAGCCGTAGGTGCGGACGCCCCGACGGAGGAGAGCACACCCACTCAGGGGGGCTGGTTCAGGATGCCTGCCCTCCACCTGCCCAGCATCCGGCGCCCCACCAGGGCGAAGGGGGTGCCTGGGGTGCAGAGTCCCCCGCCTGCTGCCCATTCACCGGGGGAAGAAGGGCCAGCTCCTGTCAAGGCTCAGGGGCCTCCGGGGTTAGAGGTGGAGGCGCCCGAACCTCTGGAGGCAGCTGAGAGGAGTGCATCGTGTGTGGGCATGCTAAAGATAAACCTGGATGGCAGGGGCCCGACGCCGCGCCCGCCTCCTCCGGGGGCAGCTCCTGCGGGCCTGTCCACTTCCGAGGCCAGGGTCCGCCCGGGCGAAGGTTCCCTTCCGCTTCGGATGCCCAGCGGGGCACTTCTGGAAACCAAAGGTCCTCCTGCTGGGCCTGTAGGCCTGGACCTCGCTGAGGGAGAGGGGAGGGCGGAGAAATGGTCCTCCCAGCCCGAAGGCCCTGTTAAACTGAAGGTGTCCAGGACCGACGGGCCGTCCCAGGTTTCCGTGGTCAGCGTGGGTCAGCCCTGGGAGGGCTCCGTGGTAACTGTCAGACTACCCAGGCTGAGCATGCCGAGGTTCGCCTTCCCTGACCCCGGCTCGGAGGCTGACGTCTTCATCCCCACTGTGCGGGAGGTGCAGTGTTCCGGGAGCAGCCTGGACGACGCCTTGCGCACGGAGAGCCCGGGAGCTTGGGGCGCCAGCATCCTGAAGGCCGGCGCTGGCACCCCCGAGGAGGAGCCCGTGGCCTTTGACCTCTCCCCAGAAGCTTCCAGGGTCCGAGTGCACATTCACGGTGCTCAGGGAGAGGGTCCCGGGGTCGGCGTACATGGCGTGGTGACGGCAGAGCTGGCCGACCTCTTGGGACCCGAGGCCGTTTCCACCCAGGTTGTGCGGGAATCAGAGATCCCCGCATCCGAGATCCAAACCGCTTCTTACGGATTTTCATTGCTGAAAGTGAAGATCTCTGAGCCCCCCACACAGGGGAGGGTCCGAGACTCCCGGCCAACGGTGGGCTCCTTGCAGGAGGCTCCCGAAGAAGCCGGCCCCAGAGCAGACCCCGTTTCTGGAGGCCTGCAGCCAGACCCCGGAGAACCATTTGAAGTGATCGCGTCCAGCGTCAGCGTACCTGGAGGCCCAGCGCTCACCGCCGACCTGCGCGCTGGGCACGCGGGTGTGGAGAGCTGCTCCGACGAGGAGCCCGCAGAAATCCTCGAATTTCCCCCCGAAGAGGATGGTGAGGAGGCTGCCGAGGGCCTGGCCGAAGGAGACCAGGCTCCGAAGGAGAAGCCGGAAGGTAAGAGGTCTTCCGGTCTGTTCCGATCTTGGCTTCCCAGCATCAGTTTCTCTTCTTCCTCCGAAGAGACACGTGCTGACTCCAAAGATGAAGTCCGTGGGCCAGCCCTCATCCAGACCCCGCCGAGTTCGCAGCCCGAGGCAGAGCTGCCCAAGAAACCCGAGAAGGCGGGCTGGTTCCGATTCCCCAAGTTAGGGTTCTCCGCCTCCCCCACCAAGCAAAGCAAGAGCTTGGAGGACGAGGCGGCTCCGGCAGAGCAGAAGCTCCAAGAAGAAGCCGCCACCTTCTTTGACGCCCGTGAGAGCTTCTCCCCCGAAGACAAGGAGCGGGGGGTGCCGGGCGCCGGAGCCATGGTCACGTCCACGGCCAGGACGGAGCTCATCCTGCTGGAGCCGGACCCGGGGGCCCCGGACGAGCCTGCGCCCGTGCCCGCTGCCCAGTGAGGACGGGAGGAAGTGGAGGCTGTGCCCTGCGCCCCGCGTGTGCACGCCAGTGTCCACCGTGACCCCCAGAGCGGAGGACGAAGCGGAGCCGGCTGCGAGCAGAGGGGCCCCCGCCGGCCCTCCCGAAGTGGGGCCCCCAGTGTGCTGCCTCCCAAGGCCTCAGGAGGGGTCCCGGGCTCCCGAGGGTCTTTATTAGACACGTGTTACTCAAGACCCCTGTCCACGAGCCCCTCCAGGTCACAGCCGCTGCTTCCTGGTGAAGGCTATTTCCCTGTTGCCGGCAGAGTCTGCCACAGTCCAGGAGGCCGTCTCCCTGCCCGCTTAGAGCTGGCCCGCTCTTCAGGGGCCGTCTCGCCGGCGCAAGCCCTGGGACGCTTTGAGTGATGCCCATGCTGGGCTGGGGGCAGCAGGCCGCCGGGTGGCCCAGGCGTCCGTCCGTGAGTGCCCTCTAGGCGCCCGTGGGCACCCACTTGCCCTCTCCGCGTGCGTGGCCCCCAGCCTCTCTGTGTCTGAAGGTGGGACCCACTCGGCTGCTCCCTGGACCCCGAACGGGCCATAAATAAAGCGCTGCCCCCCGCCCGTGACGGCTGCGAGTGTTCTGTTCTGGGTGGAGCTCATCTCTGCTCCCCTGCACACACCGCCTAACGGCCGCTAGGTTGCTCTGCCAGGCAGAGTCAGGGCGGCGCCCCCACCGCCTGTCTGCTTGGGGCCTCCTCCCCGCCCGCCGCTCTGAGAGACCGAGGAGGAAGGTGCGGACCCAGGGCTCCACCACGAGGCTGGGGACAGGCTGCCCTGAGCTGGGAGGCTGCACCAGGCCAGGGCCGTGGGCAGCGCAGGGGTGGCCCAGGGGGCGGAGGGCCCTGGCCCGGAGGCTTCACTGGGTCCTCAGCCACCACAGCGGCCCGGCTCAGTGCTCCCTGCACCACGGCGGCCGTCCTCGCCAGCTGCCCGCGGGAGCAGGACGCAGAACAAGGTCAAGGGAGCGTCCTACACCCCTTCAGGGTCGCAACTCCTCCCCATGGCCTTCAGAGGCCCTTTCTGCGCCCGTGAGCGTGCAGCGCTCCATGGGGGGCCTGGAGCCTGGCCCCCTCACTGCTGCCCGGGGGAGGTTCCTGGAGCCTGGGCACCTCACTGCTGCCCGGGGGAGGCCCCTGGAGCCTGGGCACCTCACTGCTGCCCGGGGGAGGCCCCTGGAGCCTGGCCCCCTCTCTGCTGCCCGGGGGAGGTCCCTGGAGCCTGGGCACCTCACTGCTGCCCGGGGAAGGTCCCTGGAGCCTGGCCCCCTCCGTGCTGCTCGGGGAAGGTCCCTGGAGCCTGGGCACCTCACTGCTGCCCGGGGGAGGTCCCTGGAGCCTGGCCCCCTCCCTGCTGCTCGGGGAAGGTCCCTGGAGCCTGGGCACCTCACTGCTGCCCGGGGGAGGTCCCTGGAGCCTAGGCACCTCACTGCTGCCCGGGGAAGGTCCCTGGAGCCTGGCCCCCTCCCTGCTGCCCGGGGAAGGTCCCTGGAGCCTGGGCACCTCACTGCTGCCCGGGGAAGGTCCCTGGAGCCTGGGCACCTCTCTGCTGCCCGGGGGAGGTCCCTGGAGCCTGGCCTCCTCCGTGCTGCTCGGGGAAGGTCCCTGGAGCCTGGGCACCTCACTGCTGCCCGGGGAAGGTCCCTGGAGCCTGGGCACCTCACTGCTGCCCGGGGAAGGTCCCTGGAGCCTGGCCCCCTCCCTGCTGCCCGGGGAAGGTCCCTGGAGCCTGGGCACCTCACTGCTGCCCGGGGAAGGTCCCTGGAGCCTGGGCACCTCTCTGCTGCCCGGGGGAGGTCCCTGGAGCCTGGCCTCCTCCGTGCTGCTCGGGGAAGGTCCCTGGAGCCTGGGCACCTCCCTGCTGCCCGGGGAAGGTCCCTGGAGCCTGGGCACCTCACTGCTGCCCGGGGAAGGTCCCTGGAGCCTGGGCACCTCACTGCTGCCCTGGGGAGGTCCCTGGAGCCTGGCCCCCTCCCTGCTGCCCGGGGGAGGTCCCTGGAGCCTGGCCCCCTCCCTGCTGCCCGGGGAAGGTCCCTGGAGCCTGGGCACCTCACTGCTGCCCGGGGAAGGTCCCTGGAGCCTAGGCACCTCACTGCTGCCCGGGGAAGGTCCCTGGAGCCTGGCCCCCTCCCTGCTGCCCGGGGAAGGTCCCTGGAGCCTGGGCACCTCACTGCTGCCCGGGGGAGGCCCCTGGAGCCTGGCCCCCTCTCTGCTGCCCGGGGGAGGTCCCTGGAGCCTGGGCACCTCACTGCTGCCCGGGGAAGGTCCCTGGAGCCTGGCCCCCTCCGTGCTGCTCGGGGAAGGTCCCTGGAGCCTGGGCACCTCACTGCTGCCCGGGGGAGGTCCCTGGAGCCTGGCCCCCTCCCTGCTGCTCGGGGAAGGTCCCTGGAGCCTGGGCACCTCACTGCTGCCCGGGGGAGGTCCCTGGAGCCTAGGCACCTCACTGCTGCCCGGGGAAGGTCCCTGGAGCCTGGCCCCCTCCCTGCTGCCCGGGGAAGGTCCCTGGAGCCTGGGCACCTCACTGCTGCCCGGGGAAGGTCCCTGGAGCCTGGGCACCTCTCTGCTGCCCGGGGGAGGTCCCTGGAGCCTGGCCTCCTCCGTGCTGCTCGGGGAAGGTCCCTGGAGCCTGGGCACCTCACTGCTGCCCGGGGAAGGTCCCTGGAGCCTGGCCCCCTCCCTGCTGCCCGGGGAAGGTCCCTGGAGCCTGGGCACCTCACTGCTGCCCGGGGAAGGTCCCTGGAGCCTGGGCACCTCACTGCTGCCCGGGGGAGGTCCCTGGAGCCTAGGCACCTCACTGCTGCCCGGGGAAGGTCCCTGGAGCCTGGGCACCTCACTGCTGCCCGGGGAAGGTCCCTGGAGCCTGGGCACCTCTCTGCTGCCCGGGGGAGGTCCCTGGAGCCTGGCCTCCTCCGTGCTGCTCGGGGAAGGTCCCTGGAGCCTGGGCACCTCACTGCTGCCCGGGGAAGGTCCCTGGAGCCTGGGCACCTCACTGCTGCCCGGGGAAGGTCCCTGGAGCCTGGCCCCCTCCCTGCTGCCCGGGGAAGGTCCCTGGAGCCTGGCCCCCTCCCTGCTGCCCGGGGAAGGTCCCTGGAGCCTGGGCACCTCTCTGCTGCCCGGGGAAGGTCCCTGGAGCCTGGCCTCCTCCGTGCTGCTCGGGGAAGGTCCCTGGAGCCTGGGCACCTCCCTGCTGCCCGGGGAAGGTCCCTGGAGCCTGGGCACCTCACTGCTGCCCGGGGAAGGTCCCTGGAGCCTGGGCACCTCACTGCTGCCCTGGGGAGGTCCCTGGAGCCTGGCCCCCTCCCTGCTGCCCGGGGGAGGTCCCTGGAGCCTGGCCCCCTCCCTGCTGCCCGGGGAAGGTCCCTGGAGCCTGGGCACCTCACTGCTGCCCGGGGGAGGTCCCTGGAGCCTAGGCACCTCACTGCTGCCCGGGGAAGGTCCCTGGAGCCTGGCCCCCTCCCTGCTGCCCGGGGAAGGTCCCTGGAGCCTGGGCACCTCACTGCTGCCCGGGGGAGGTCCCTGGAGCCTGGCCCCCTCCCTGCTGCCCGGGGAAGGTCCCTGGAGCCTGGCCCCCTCCGTGCTGCTCGGGGAAGGTCCCTGGAGCCTGGGCACCTCACTGCTGCCCGGGGAAGGTCCCTGGAGCCTGGCCCCCTCCCTGCTGCCCGGGGAAGGTCCCTGGAGCCTGGGCACCTCACTGCTGCCCGGGGAAGGTCCCTGGAGCCTGGGCACCTCACTGCTGCCCGGGGGAGGTCCCTGGAGCCTAGGCACCTCACTGCTGCCCGGGGAAGGTCCCTGGAGCCTGGGCACCTCACTGCTGCCCGGGGAAGGTCCCTGGAGCCTGGGCACCTCACTGCTGCCCGGGGGAGGTCCCTGGAGCCTGGCCCCCTCCCTGCTGCCCGGGGAAGGTCCCTGGAGCCTGGGCACCTCCCTGCTGCCCGGGGAAGGTCCCTGGAGCCTGGGCACCTCACTGCTGCCCGGGGGAGGTCCCTGGAGCCTGGCCCCCTCCCTGCTGCCCGGGGAAGGTCCCTGGAGCCTGGCCCCCTCCCTGCTGCCCGGGGGAGGTCCTTGGAGCCTGGGCACCTCTCTGCTGCCGGGGGGAGGTCCCTGGAGCCTGGCCCCCTCCGTGCTGCTCGGGGGAGGTCCCTGGAGCCTGGGCACCTCACTGCTGCCCGGGGGAGGTCCCTGGAGCCTGGCCCCCTCCCTGCTGCTCGGGGAAGGTCCCTGGAGCCTGGGCACCTCACTGCTGCCCGGGGAAGGTCCCTGGAGCCTGGGCACCTCACTGCTGCCCGGGGAAGGTCCCTGGAGCCTGGGCACCTCACTGCTGCCCTGGGGAGGTCCCTGGAGCCTGGCCCCCTCCCTGCTGCCCGGGGGAGGTCCCTGGAGCCTGGCCCCCTCCCTGCTGCCCGGGGAAGGTCCCTGGAGCCTGGGCACCTCACTGCTGCCCGGGGGAGGTCCCTGGAGCCTAGGCACCTCACTGCTGCCCGGGGAAGGTCCCTGGAGCCTGGCCCCCTCCCTGCTGCCCGGGGAAGGTCCCTGGAGCCTGGGCACCTCACTGCTGCCCGGGGGAGGTCCCTGGAGCCTGGCCCCCTCCCTGCTGCCCGGGGAAGGTCCCTGGAGCCTGGCCCCCTCCGTGCTGCTCGGGGAAGGTCCCTGGAGCCTGGGCACCTCACTGCTGCCCGGGGAAGGTCCCTGGAGCCTGGCCCCCTCCCTGCTGCCCGGGGAAGGTCCCTGGAGCCTGGGCACCTCACTGCTGCCCGGGGAAGGTCCCTGGAGCCTGGGCACCTCACTGCTGCCCGGGGGAGGTCCCTGGAGCCTAGGCACCTCACTGCTGCCCGGGGAAGGTCCCTGGAGCCTGGGCACCTCACTGCTGCCCGGGGAAGGTCCCTGGAGCCTGGGCACCTCACTGCTGCCCGGGGGAGGTCCCTGGAGCCTGGCCCCCTCCCTGCTGCCCGGGGAAGGTCCCTGGAGCCTGGGCACCTCCCTGCTGCC